AAAAAAAAAAAAAAAAAAAAAAAAAAAAAAAAAAAAAAAAAAGAATATCTGTATAAAATTAGACTTTGCGAGAAAGTTTGTTACCTTCAAAGCTTGATTCTCAGAAATCGAGATAAACAATGACTTCTTTTGTTCGGATGTCTTCCAAACTCCCAAACTACACCACCTACGAATAATAGTCTTATTTCCCAGGCCTGGGAAGCTGGCAGTTTCTTTCTTTTTCAACGAGGAATTTGTGAGTTTAGCTTGAAGATTTCAATGCGTTTAAGGTTCAAGAACTTTCGTTGCGCAGAATGACCTTATATGGGTGTTAACCGACAGATTCAATATTATTGGTTAGTTTAGAATACGCTCACGAATCTCTTAGGCAACGTCTTATTATGATATTTCTATGATCTAATAATGAAAAATAATATGTCAATGCTTGTCAAACGAATATTTACCAAGATTTCGATTACTTTACGCTACCCGATCGATTTTACTGAATACAAAGGCGCTATGCAGTTCCTGAACATTAAAACAAATTATGAATTCTGTCTCTTCCTTATTTGATTCCTGTACTAGCCGTTATTGGTAAAAATATGCCTAAGATCTACCTTACTTACTAAGCAAGAACAAATGCTTGACTTAGATACTGAAACGATGATATTCATGTGATAGGAGCAATAGTATCCCCCAGGAAGCAACAATTATGGTGCAATCCGTATAGTTTCAATTTCAGTGCCTGTGTAGTTAGGTTACACAGAAAGGTTAAACCGTCAGCTTAGGTGCAATCTATCATTTTTTCCATTTTCGTTTTTAATTTTGCCCAAAATAATTTACTTGTAATGTCAATTCTGATATCCAAAAATAGCATGTAGCCAACTAAGCAGAATGGGCCACTACATGCGGGTTTGTGGTTGTTTGAAGAAAACATAAAATACGATAAACAAATATTTCTTTTGATTCCTCGTAAGGAAATTGATGGAATAGGCAAAGTTAAAAGAAACAAGGCCCTATTCTGACCGGTTCCCAAAAATAATCAGGTCGAAAGAATTAGTTTGAAGCTAAGACGTAATCGATGAAATATTACTGATTTTTAACTACAGTGCGCGGCCAACCATATAAACGAAAGATTAAAAAAACCGCGCGCGATCCCTGCAGGTTAACTTCCAAGAATTCTAGCTGTCATATCAAGATTTTAGCAGCCAATCAAAACGCACCATGATAACAGTGCGAGCAACGCAATATATAGCGCGAATGAAGGAAGAAATATAAGATTTCGCTGAATTGCTGCACGTACGGCCATCGTTTTTTGTCAGGGGTCTACGTCCGGCGGGGTTTTCGTCGATAGAATAAGGTAAGAAGAAAAAATAGACTAAAAGATAACTCTATATACATATATAAGATTATATCGATCGAGTAAATCGTAATAAGGAAACAAGTGAATAAGGAAGCAAGTGAATTAGCTCTTGGACTTTTTGAACAAGATGATAACTTTCTACGGCAACCATTGAATCCTTTGCTAGTCATTTAAGCGTGTTCGATTTATTGCGAAAGGTTTTCTCCATCTTTTTTCCGCTATGTTACCGTTGATAGAATTTGAGGTAGATACCTTTTCATTTTGATTTCCGCCGACTTGTTTTTAGTTTCTTTTTATTTGGTGCAATTCTATTTTTTGCGATATAAATATGAAGGAAGCTATGCATGTCTTGTCGAAACCGCGAACTATTCCGAACAATCGCGCAGTCATCAAATTTTATCTCAGATGCAATTTTTTAAAATTTCTTTGAAAACGGTCTGAAATTTATAAAATATTCGACGGAAAAAAATTGGTGTAGTAATGTTTAGAGCGCTGCTAGAGATCCCTGACTCTGAGGAGCGATGTAAAGCCCAGCAGCAAAGCTAGGCAGTTTGATCGCACCTTCTCGAAGTTGTCCGACATTTTGGATGTATCTCGCAAAAGCACTGTATCATTCTTAGTGCTACTACCGGGTACAATTGATTTTGGAATGTTAGTTCAAACTTCTATTGGTATTAGTGAATGGATATTAAGTTTACTTTGGTTCGAGCTTATTAAATTTTTTGCTGACTTTGAATTCGAATGCATGATGGACAGTGTTAGYATTCTACGGATTATACAAGAKTCTGTTGCTTCTATGTTGGGACTATYACACTAACACTATTAGTTCATCGTTTGCGATGGCTAAAATATCATATCGGCAGTTTTCGAGTAAATTCAGTGTTAACAATAAATTCAAAAATCAGGCCAACGAATTGTCCTCGAAAGTTCATGGCAGGTCTTCAAGGAAGAAAACATTTTGTGTGCTGATAACAAGGTATTATATTCGACCGCTACCATGAAAAGAAGACACTAAGACACCTGGGAACTCTTGCGACTGAAGATATATAGTCCCCACGAGGGTGTTTGCGTAATTTTACACTAAACCAATCTCGTACCCAGAGCCTGCGTTTCTTCTAGTATGAGACGAAGAATGAGGGCTCTGGCATATTCCATATTTTGGCGCATGCCCAATATTTGGAAAGTGAGATGTAACCAATCAAAATAATCAAAGTAAAAAGTAAAACCAAAGTAAAAACCAAACTAAAAATATCATAGTAAAGATCATAGTAGAAAATATAAATTGGAAAAATATTCTTTTAATTTTTAGCAAGTCTATGAACGCACGCGCTGTCATACCGGAAGTCCAAGAAACCCTGGTCTCTTAAAATGGATTATGCCAGAGCCCTCTTTCTTCACCGCAGGCCAGAAGGAACGCAGGCTCTGGGTTCGAGATTGACACTAAACCGACGGAGAAAAACGTTTGCGCATGCGTGCATTTTAGCACGTTTTCTAAACATTTTGAAGAGTTTAAGTGAGAAAAAAAAAGTTTGTTTCTCCATGTATACAAAAAAGTTCGAGAGTATACTTTTGTCAGACCAAGATACTGTATTATCAAACACAATATGAAAGAATTAGTCTTTAGTTTCAAGCATGGACACTAAGATTTTCCATTTTGTGAAGTCCAATTTATCAGGCATGTATGAAAGTCAAATTTACTTATGTTTTTGACTAATTTGCATACGGTTTCAGAGCATGCGCAAACGTTTTTCACTCGTGTCCTTTAATCCAGTTTAAAATAACCTCTCTGGTGCACGTGCGTATTGCGGTATGGGATTCTCGGTTCGTTATTTATGAGCTGCCAAAATCGAAAAAGACCTAGCCAGAGTAAAGATTAATAATTATACACATACGGCCATACAACTGATCCAAATTGAACAAAATTAGAAGAAATTGTCATTTCATCATACAATTAACAATTTTTCTTTAATAGAATCCTCCTGAAGAATCTGTAACTTAGATAAAGTTTTGAATAATGGAGCGATGCTTACACTGAACTGAGTACTCACAATAACAACGTGTTTTTTTCCTTTACAGCAACTTCTCTTTGAAATATTTTCAGTATTCGTAAACAAGTGACGACACCAGGCTTTTTTTTTTTAATTTGCTTGTCGCAGATAAAAAAGAAAGAAAAAAAGAACTGACAAACTAAACATGCCAGAGAAACACCTTATAGAGGAAATAAAGAAAATGAATAAAAAACTTAAAGACTTGAATACACAGATAGCAGCAAACGAATATAAGCTGCGTGAAGTTCCGAATAGAAAAAGCGAAGAAAAGTTCAATAAAGTCATAGAAGATCTAAAGCGAGAAAAGGAAAAGGGTGAAGAGAAAAGATATCTCCTTCAGAAAGTAGTGAAACTGCAAGGAACACTAGAGACAAAAGAGGTAAAAATAACACAGTTGAAACACCAAATAGAGGAACTACAAAAAAATAATGGTCAAATACAAGAATTAAACGAAGAAATAGTAGATCTCAAGCAAGAAAAGGATCAGTTGGAAAACGAAATAATCAAGCTTAAAAATGACATACGTGGGTTGAAGGAAAAGATCGAAGAAAGGGATGTACGTGTGGAACTGTTGGAAAAGGAAATGAAAGAAAACCATGAGAACCACCAGAACATAATGAAGGATTTTATTGCCAAGAGTGACAAGGATATAAAAGATTTGAGGTACAAAACGTCTGCCAATATCACGCAACTAAAAGATAATCATTCAAGAGAAATGGACGAAATGCGTGAATCAAACAATTTCCTCGAAAATGAAGTAAAGGAACTTAAAACGAAACTTTCAAAAATGGAAAGTGAACTAAATGAGTGTAAAAAGCATGTGAGCTACTGTACAGAAGAAAATAAGCACATTTTGTACATTGGGCAACTCTGTTCAGACTTGCAAACAAACTGGTATCGATATGTCATGCCGAAGCACTGCCACGATGAGCATCGTGCTTATAAAGTTAACCACATTATAGACGATATTGGTGATAGCACAATACTCAGTGAAGAAGAGCAAAACGATGCCAAGAGGAGGTGGAAAGAATTGCAAAGTAAAATAGATTGGGAGAAGAACGAACGTTTGATAGAAGCAATTAAGCGACTACGACAGCAGAGAAACCGAGCCGCGCATCCCAAAGTCCTTAGTGAAGAAGGAGCAAAAAGGGCGGCCGACGAGTTAAAAAAACAAGGAAAATTGAAAGCTAAGCCCTCATTTGAGGATGTCATGGGATTAATCAATCTATGGAAATCTTCAAAGTCCCTGCACCAAGGACGATCCGGCTGATGCATGTGACCAAGCTCGTAAAACACTTCCATGTTCATTGATCACAGACTCATTTACTTAGGGTTGGCCTCATATCAGCGTCAAAATATTCACATTTGAAATAGGAAATGTAAAGAAAATAATACACAACTTTAACAATACCAGCACTTTTAAAAKTTCACAAACGGATATTTTTAATCGGATATTTTTAAATCCGCAACTTTCATACCGATTCCACCGTCCAGCCACACCAGGCCGTATTCAAAAAAATCACTTGATAAATGTGGAAGTGACTTAATGTTTACGCATTTTTCCTTTTTAAATATTTRCGTTTTTGGTTATAATTGGGATTCCTGTGGAAAGCCGGCCGAGATATACTGAAATGGGGCTTTTCGTTTTCTATCACAAATCGGCCATTAGTGTCTCTAGGGCGCATGAGCTTTGCTGGCGAACTCATGATAACGAAGGCTCGCAGCACGTAACAGAGCTAAAACAAGCCGTTGGAAGCTTCGGTGCTCTCTCTGACGTCTAGTTTTTTAATGGTTTATAATTTTGATATATGAATTCTACCCTGAAACTAAGTTCCATAAAATGACATGCTATAGACCCCTTGTAGCACGTCGGAATGAAGCTTAATTTGGAGTACATAACAATAGGTTCCCAATTCTCTTCTTTCCCATACCCATAATACTTTGCGGCTTTGGGGGGTAACCAGAGGAAAAACTGAACCGCATTTATTTTGCTGAAGGCTGATCAGACAATGTTGAAAATACCTCGTTTGATATCCAAATATAAAATGGAACAGTAAGAAACAGAAAGAGATGAAAAAGTTTAAAGTAAGTTTTTAATATTTCTTCGTAAGTCAAKACATTTTCTGTAACAACAAACCTTTTGATGTTCTGCAAAATGAACTCAGAATGAACTGATAATCAGTACTTTACAGATCAAAACAGGTATAGTGTACATTCAATTGAAGAACGTTTCATTTTGGGACAGCGTTTTGATTGGTTACGCGTTTTGATTGGTTAACTCCAAGTCGCAAAGCATTATGGGGCACGCGAAAGTAGATAATTATCATGAGATTGAAATTAAGCTGTTTGTACGTGACATGCAAGGATTTTAATTTTTTCATTCCACCAAGAGGTATTTTGACTTTGTATAACTGAGTGAATTCAGGTTTTGCAATATATTAACTATACAATAGGTTTACATACATGTTTTTATACACGAAACGGTCAAAATCTACAATTTATCCTTTTTTTGTGTGTGTAAGGCGATCTAAATAGATCGTAGCAAGATCAAAATGCATTTTGGCTTTCAAGCTACAGTACACTGATTTCAATCTAAGAACTGTAACATACGAAACTTGTTCAAATGCTCTGATTGTTCATCACTCTCTGCACTGTCTAGTTATCATACAGGTTTTGTTGTAAGAGCAGACGACACGCGTCAAACCAATCATAATGCGCGAAATTAATGACCGTCCAATCAGAATGKTGCATTTTAACAAGACTACGTCACGGTTACGCACCTTCACTATCATACGAACACCGCTCTAAAATAATGATAAATTAGATAATGTAATAATATGGATCAATGAAAAGATAATAAAATGAATGAAACTGCCTATATCCATCCAATAAATGATATCTATCTAGGAGCCTATCTAGGGGGTTTGTCCAATGAGTGATCTTAGTATCTTTACGTTAGAGTAGCGTTTTTACCCAGTGAATAAGATGTTAAGCCCCCGTCCACAAGTATCCGCAAATTTGTGTATCCGCCGATTGTTTTTTTTGCGGATACGGGTTGCGTCCACACTTGTCCGGAAATTCTTCTATCCGTATCCGTAAGAATTTTCGAAAACGGTCTCCAGAGTGGAAATTTTCGAATACGCTCCGAATACGGATACGTGTGGACGGTCGTATCCGCAAATTTTCGAAAAACACGATTTTGCGCATGCTCAATGAGAAAAATTATCCATCAAAGGGACTAGATACTAGCGTGCATCAGGGCGGATCAAGAAAATTTACAGATACGTGTGGAGAGTGAAAACGATTCGAATACGCTGCGTGTGGACGCGAACATTTTCGTATCCGCAAAAAAAAATTTACGGGTACAAAAATTTCCGGATACGTGTGGACGGGGTTTAAGACTAGTACATCTAGTTGGTCAATCCTGTTGTATCATCAGCCTCCTAAAATGAAAAAAAAAGTGCTTATGAGAGTTAGTTCAACAACCAACATAGCCGTCATGTCTTCTGTTATTTCATTCTCTTGGGAATGATTGCAAATAACTTATAGATCTCTTGCACTAGTTCCCAMCCTGGGGGTCAAAACGAAAGATTACTCTTCTTTTGAGGACTGTGATTTCTCTTGAGGATAGTATGTTTTCAATGTTTTGGCTCCCAAGGTAAGGTAATGAATAGTGTATTTTATTTGCTGTTTATCGAACAGGAAAATATATCATGCAGTCGAGAGTAGGAAG